TCTTTTTCTTTTTGCTTATGTGGTGCTGAGGAATTGAACCCAGGGCCTCATGCATGCAAGGCAAGCACTCTACCACTGAGCCACCTTCCCAGCCCCAATATGCCTTTATTCTATAAAGTTGTTTGCTAATGAAGATTAATTTTAAAATTAGAACTGTAAGTTAAACTATGCATTTGAATTATTTCTACCCTTAGGGGAGGAACACAGGTATAATGTCTCTGAACATTTAAAATACCATTTATTGAAGGGAACTGTAGGAAATGGAAACATATCTTTCCTTGTTGGTGGTGGAGGTGGTGTTTGTTTTTTTTCTTATTGGGGGCGGGTAAACGAGAAGGAGGGTGAACAAATTCAGGTCATTCTGTTTAGACTACACTATGTGGAAAATGACCTATGTAACTTGTGGGCAGGAATAGGAGGGAGGAACTGGGGGAAGTAAAGGAAGAGGTGACATTGTCCATAAAAGGAACTGTACTCATTAACTGTCTTAGAAAGTGATAACCCCTCTGTATAAAACATTAATAGTAACTAAAATCATTAAAAAGGAAAAGGTTATAAAAATTTTTTGCCTGGTTGGGTCTTGAACAATAATCTTCCATTCTCTGCCTCCTTCATAGCTAAGATTAAAGCTATGAGCCACAGTGTCTAGCTTTGTTGGTTTTTTGTTGTTAAAAATAAAAGGCCTTTTCTGTGCTGTATATCTGAATATATGTGTGTGATATATGTCTGTATGTATATGCACATATTTATACAAATATTGCCATTAGAAATCTTAAGAGGGAAATTGGTTAAGGCTATTATTAAAGGAAGTTATGTTTATTAGATCTTTTCTGTGTTCTGTATGTACATACATACATATTGCTATTAGGAATCTTAAAGAAGAAAATTGGTTAAGCCTATTACTGAAGGAAATAATACTTTAGAAATCCTGGAATGAGTCATTAGGCTTTAGGGATTCATCACATTGTTGATTAACTTGGTTTATTAACTTGGTTTAGCAAGTATTTTATAGCAGGGATACCTAACTGTGCAAAAATTACAACTTGAGAAGAGCTTTTTTTGGTAAATGATGATTTAAAAATTATCTGTTAAAACATGGTTTTATCTTTAATGTACAAAGAGGTTTCAATTCAACATGTCAGTTAAAAAAATTTTTTTTTTTTGCTGGTTGTGGGACTTGAACTCAGGACCTGGGCACTGCTTAAGACTAGTGCACTACCATTTGGGGCCATGGTTCCATTTTTAGTTTTCTGGTGGTTAATTGGAGATGAGTTTCACAGACTTTTTTTGTTTTTTAATTGTGAAAATACCATGCAGAAGGGTTACAATTACTTGGGCAAAGTAATGAGTATATTTCTTACCAAGCATTGTTGCCTCCTCCTTTGCTTCCCCTTCCCATCCCTTCCCATTCCCCACCCCCACTCCCCCTGCCAAAGTTGTAAAGTTCGTTTTTCGACATAATGTCTTGTATATCTCATTCTTGTAATGGGTCCGCCTGTATTTAAACAATTTGTTGTTCACAGACTTTCTTTTTTTTTTTTTTTGGGTCCAGTCGTGGGGCCTGAACTCTGGGCCTGGGCACTGTCCCTCAGCTCTTCAGCTCAAGGCTAGCGCTCTACCACTTGAGCCACAGCGCCACTTCCGGCTTTTTTCTTTTTGCTTATGTGGTGCTGAGGAATTGAACCCAGGGCCTCTGGCATGCAAGGCAAGCGCTCTACCACTGAGCCAACTTCCCAGCCCTCACAGACTTTCTTGTCCAGTGAAAGCATCCATCCCAGAAGACTGCATGGACACAGTCATGTAAAATAAAATGAGTTTATTGTCAGCAGGTGCTGACAAGGCCAATTCTCTCATAGGAAAGGAAATATTCTTTGTTTAGGGGCAGTTTTATACAGTCATGGGACTAGGGGTGGGATGTACTCTGGATTAGCAGTGTTGACCCAGCAATCCCACTTTTGGGCATTTACCTGAATGATCACAAACAAGACCATACTAAAGCTACCAGCACAACTATGTTTACCGCAGCATTATTTACCATAGCTAAGATATGGAACCAACCTAGATGCCCCTCAGTGATGAATGTGGTATATATACACAGTATATACACAATGGAATTCTGTGCCTCCTTCAGAAAGAATGATATTGCCCCATTTGTTTTGTTTTGGTTGGTTGTGGGGCTTGAACTCTGGGCCTGGGTGCTATCCCTCAGCTCTTCAGCTCAAGGCGAGTGCTCTACCACTTGAGCCACAATGCCACTTTCAACATTGCCCCATTTGTTAAGGAATGGAAAGACTTGGAAAAAATTATATTAAGTGAAGTAAGCCAGGCACAAAGAAACATAGGTCCCATGGTTTCCCTTATTTGCAATAACTAGTAGATGTCTGAGGCAAGCAGAAAAGGTCAGATAAGTTGATGTTAGGTGAAATGAACCCCAAGATAAGGACTCAAATGGTTTTTCTTTCTTGCTATTGTTTCTAACATATTTATATTTCTTTGTTGCTTTGTTTGTCCCTCCCCCACGGTATAATCCCTGTTTTTACTGTATTTGATGTTGGTATAATTTGGGAAGGGGAAGGGAAAAAACAAATTGTTTAAATAGGGATACAGGTGGACCCATTGCAACAATGAGATGTACAAGACGTTTTGTCGAAAAATGAACTTTACAACTTTGGCGCAGAGGGGGGTGATGCGGGGGCGTGGGTTGGGAAGGGATGGTAAGGGGAAACAAAGGAGGAGGCAATAATGTCTGATAAGAAATGTACTCATTACCTGGCTCATGTAATTGTAACCCCTCTGTATAGTACTTTCACAATTTAAAAAAAAAAAAAGAACATAGCCTGGGTGGGGTTTTCTGATTGCAAGAGTTACAGTTAGGCAGCATTCTGCTGATGCTGCTGGGGGCTAGGATAGTGCAGTTTAGGTGGAAGTGGGCAATTGTGGCAGGCCTGGCCTGATAACCTGATTTCAGGGAAAGGGCAGAGGACCTAGGATGGAGGCTGTCAAGCCACAATGGGGGAGTACATGCTAACACTCAGGCTCAGCCATCCTTAGATCTCAGTTTCTGTTGGTGTGAGCCAACAGTGCCCAGCCAAAGAGTCAGTTTTTAAAAAATATAACTATTGTTATTATAGGGAGTTGTACAGAGGGAGTACAATTTCATGAATCAGGTAATGAATACAATTCTTCTTGGACAATGTCACCCTTCCCTTCCTTACCTCCAATTTACCCCTCCTGTCTTTGCCCACAAGTTGCATAATTCGTTTTTTACATACTGTATATTGAATACTATGACTACATTTGTTCACTCTTTGTCTCACCATTTCTGTGCTCCTCTTTTGCCCCCCTTCTAAAAAGACAAAACCCACCAACAATAACAACAAAACAAATCGTTTCTATTTCCTAGAATTCGTTTTGAAAAATTGTATTTTGGATGTTCAGAGGAGTTACACCTTTGGTTTCTTTGTGTGTAAAAGTTAACATAAAAGTTGTCTTTTTACAATATATATTTTTATTGTAAAAATACTGTACAGAGGGGTTACAGTTACATGAATAAGGTAATGAGTACATTTCCTATTGAGCATTGTTACCTCCTCCTTTGTTTTTCCCCTACCATCCCTTCCCTCTCCGCCTCCCCTATATATATATGTATATATATTCATATATATATATATATACACACACACACACACACATATATATATATATATATGTAAGTTTATCTATTTTGTGATGGGTAAGGGGAGCACAGAAATGGTGGGACAAAGGGTGAACTAATGCAGCAGTGATACTCACTAGACACTGCTGAAAATAAACTATTGTGGAGGGGGGGTTAGGGAAAAAACTGGGGGAAAATGAGGGAAGAGGTCACACTATTAAAAAAGTAGTAAACTCATTACCTGACTTATATAACTGTAACCCCTCTATACATCAAATTTAAAATAGAAAAAAAGTTAAGTCTAACTTCTTTTTTTTTTTTTTTTGATGATGAAGCTGTGAATTCTTTGGAATTGTGAATATTCTTTTGAAATACGGAGCCCAGCTCAATGAACTTCATTTGGCATCCTGCCTGAAGTATGAAAAGTTTTCAGTATTTCGATACTTTATAAAGAAAGGTTGCCCATTGACATCCTGGAACCATATATCTGAATTTATAAGTCATGCAGTTGAAGCACAAACAAAATATAAGGAATGGTTGCCCCATCTCCTGCTTGCTGGATTTGACCCACTAACTCTACTCTGCAGTTCCTGGTAAGAAATCCTACTATTATGGGCCCTACCCTTTTGAGTGTTTATGCTACCTTTAGTTTTCCCTAATGTGTTGAGATCTATGTGTTAGGAGAAGGGTGTGTGCCTATGTGTATTTTGATTGCTTATGTGTGTTTTGATTGCCTATGTGTGTTTAGATGCCAGTGAGCTCTTCTGAGAGACAGCTTCTTCTGCTCTCTTTGCTCTTTCTTTTTCATCGTTCTTCCTCCTCTTTTTGCTATATGCTAGGATGTCCTCAAATTTACTATGTAGCCCAGGTTGCCTTTAAGCCTGCAGTCCTACTTCAGCCTTCAAAGTGCTGGAAATATAGGCATGGTCCCTTACACCTCTCAAAATGCTTGCGACACAAGAAAAAAGTGGTTGTTATCTTTACCAAACTAGATTGAATGCTCCTGTGCTACAGCATTTTGTCTTTTTGCAATTTGTCTCCTTAATAAATGGTTTCTGAAATATCTGAGGATATAACTTGTATAAGTATTTTCTCAAAGAGGTAGCCCTCTACAAGAGATTATACAACTGTTGAATCAGGCCTTTACTTGGGCAGGAAGAAATGACTGTTTCTGCAATCCTCCTTTGCAAAAATCATTACTCTGATCCTGACTTTGGTGGCTTATGTCTATATTCCAAGCTACTCAGTAAGCTGATACCTAGAGAGAATCAAGATTTGAAGAAAGACCAGGCAGCAAAGTCCAGCAAAGTGCTGGACTGGAGGCATGGCCCAGGTGGTAGAGTGCTGAACATGAGCAAGAAAGCTGAATGAGAATTGGAGACACTTAGTTCAAGCTCTGGTATTTTTAGACAAAAATAAATTGCTAGTGTCTGGAGACAGAAAAGTGTAGCAGTAAGAGGACTTCCTGGCCTGATGATCATATAATGAGACAATAGAATAAAAATTTGTATCCAAGTAGAGGAATGTTATTTTACAGAATTTTAATAAAGCATCTCTTATTTGGCTCATGCCTATGATCCTAACTGCTCAAGAGGCTGAGATTTGAGGATCAGGGTTCAAAACCAGCCCAGGCAGGATAGAGTGTATACACACACACACACACACACACACACACGCACACACGTATAATTATCCACCAGAAGGCTGCGCACACACACACATACACACACACATATATAATTATCCACCAGAAGGCTGAAAGTGGAGCTGGGCCTCAAATGGTAGAGGGCTAGACTTGAGCAAAAATGCTCAGGAACAATGCCCAGGCCCTGAGTTCAAGTCCAAGGACTGGCACAAAAACAAACCTACTATTCACTGAAATAAAATTTAGATAATACTAAAATTTTGTGTTTAATATTTTGCCATTAGAGTTTTCCTCTTCAAAAAAGCCTTGTTTGGGGTTTAGGCATAAATACTGTCATTGTGACAGAATGCCCGACATACATAACTTTCAAGTTTATTTTGGTTCATGAATTCAGAGCGTTCAGTACATGTTTGCTTTGTCCCATGCTCATGAGCATTGTGGCGGAGTCTGTGACAGAGAGCTGCTCCAGAGCAGTTAGGAAGCAGAGTAGAGTAGCTCACATCCTGGCAGACAGGAAGCAGAAAAGGAATACAGGAAGAGGCCAAGACAAGACAGGGCTCTCAAGGACTGCCCCCTCGCCCTTGTGTCTTCACTTTCCCCAATTAGGCCCTTCCTCCTGTCTTTACCACTTCCCAGTAATGTCCATTGTATTTTGATTTCATGAGACAGTAATCCATTCCTTAAATTAGAGCATTATAAGCACCATCCAGATATGCCTTACTAATCTCTTAGGAGTTTTTCAGTCTAATCTCAATCTTGACAAGCTTAACTATCACAGTTTACAGTGCCTTAAGCCACTACTATTAAGTTTAGTTTGCATTTATATGACCTTCATCTTCCACAGGTTTCTCTTTGAGTGAAGAATAGGTGTTTCATCAACAGTGTTCTAGTATCTCATTGTGTGTGCTCTGTTACATGAAGTCAGGAATTTTCATTAAACCTAGGCTTTATGCCTAGGACTATCCTGAAGTGATACTATCTCTTTCAGTTACATTATTTATGAGAAAAAAACTGCTTTCTCAGTGGTTTTGGGAGGATAGAAGTAAAAGCAGAGTTGAGTATCTTTGTTTTTCTGATCCTACCTTATTTTCATTTATAGCAGGTAAAGTTTCTAATTGTGTTTATTATGCATAGCTATCTGTCAAATGCTTGGGGTTGCTTTTTACTCTGTAAGTTTCCTATAAATGTTTGCAAAGCTCACTTTTTTGGATAATTGAATAAAAGAAAAAAGTTTACTGACATATTATTGAAGCACCTGTAATTTTTTTAATGAAGTTTTTTATTGTGAAAATATAGTACAGAGGGGTTACAGTTACATGAGCAAGGTAATGAGTATATTTCTTATCCAACATTGTTGCCTCCTCCTCTGTTTTTCCCCTGCCATTCCCTCCCTCCCATGTCCTCAGCTACCCCGCCCCCCCTCACCCCCCTGCCCTGCATGCCTAAATTGTAAAGTTCGTTTTTGGACATAGCGTCTTGTATATCTCATTGTTGTAATGGGTCCACCTGTATCCCTATTTAAACAATTTGTTTTTTTCCCTTCCCCTCCCCAAATTATACCAACATCAAATACAGTGAAAACAGGGGTTATACCGTGGGGGAGGAGCATAGAAAACAAAAAAAAAATCACATGGTACCTTATAAATATATTAGAAGCAATAGCAAGGAAGAAAAAAACACTTGTGTCCCTATCTTGGGATTCATTTCTCTTAACATCATCTTATCTGACCTTTTCTGCTTGTCCCAGACATATACTAGTTATTGCAAATAAGGGAAACCATGGGACCTATGTTTCTTTGGCTTACTTCACTTAATATAATTTTTTCTAAGTCTTTCCATTTCCTAACAAATAGAGCAATGTCATTCTTTCTGATGGAGGCATAGCATTTCATTGTGTATATATACCACATTTTCTTGATCCATTCATCTACTGAGGGGCATCTGGGTTGGTTCCATATCTTAGTTATGGTAAATAATGCTGCAATCAACATAGTCGTGCTGGTAGCTTTAGTATGGTCTTGTTTGTGATCATTTGGGTAAATGCCCAAAAGTGGAATTGCTGGATCATAGGGGAGCTCTATGTGGAGTCTTAAGGAAGCTCCATACTGCTTTCCAAAGTGGTTGAGCAAGTTTACACTCCCACCAACAATGCAGTGGGTTCCCTTCTCTGGCCACATCCCTTCCAGCATCTGTTGTTATTAGAGTTCTTGATTATAGCCATTCTAACTGGGGTAAGGTGGTATCTCAATGTTGGTTTTTTTTTTTTTTTTGCCGGTCGTGGACCTGAACTCTGGGCCTGGGTGCTCTCCCTCAGCTCTTCAGCTCAAGGCGAGCGCTCTACCGCTTGAGCCACAGCGCCACTTCCGGCTTTTTCTGTTTATGTGGTGCTGAGGAATCGAACCCAGGGCCTCAGGCATGCAAGGCAAGCACTCTGCCACTGAGCCACCTTCCCAGCCCATCAATGTTGTTTTGATTTGCATTTCTTTTATGGCTAGAGAGGTTGAACATTTCTTCATGTGTCTATTGGCCATTCTTATTTCCTCTTCAGAGAAGTTTCTCTTTAAGTCTTTTAGCCCACTTATTTATTGGGCAGTTGTTTCTTTGAGGATTTGATGTTGGGGGATTTAATTTTTTGAGTTCCAAGTATATTTTAGATAGCATCTGTAATTTTTAAAAGTTATTTGTTACATTTGTTTTAACAAGCCATGTCCCATGTATACATATCCATACATACTATTGAGATACAAAGCACTTGCTAATGAATATTATATCTAGTTATTAATAAAGTCATTTCAAGATTGGGTCCAAGGTCTTGTTAGGTAGCTGTAGCAGGCCCTCACTACTCTAGGATTCTCTCTTGAACTATGCTATAACTTTAACCTAACATGGGTGGCTGTGGACAGTCCTGATATTCTCTTCTCCTTTACCACATGGTGACTTCTCAGCCACACTTCCTATGTTCCGCTACTGAAACTGTTAACTAACACCATTTGACTTATACTTTAACCTTTACATTTAACCTTTTTTGTTTCTTTAATCAAAATAGAATATTGCCTGACATCTAGTAGGCACTATTTTTCATTCTTATATTGTGTCATGTACTATATTAACCCATTTACCATTACTATTACTTTACAGAGGAGAAAATTGTGGCATAGTGTTAAATGTACTTTCCCAAGCCTACATGGCAAGTTAGCACTAGAACTTAGATTTATTTGAACCCAGGCTGTCTTGTACTATGGCTCATGTCTTTGTTCTCAATTACTATTGCTGTGCTGCTTGTATATCATTTAATTTCAAGTACCTCAATCCCTTGCCAAACCTGGGTGGTCTATACCAAGTTTTCTGATTCTTCCTCCTCCTAAATTAGAGGGGGAAAGCACAGGAAAAAGAATTAAACATTGCATTTTTTCTTTCTTCTTTAGTCATCTAAGTATACTGTTGGTAGGGAGAATGAATTATTTAGCTTTATATTATTTCATTTTATTTTATTTTGTTGGTCGTGGGGCTTGAACTTAGGGCCTAGGCGCCATCCCTGAACTTTGATGGGTTGTGCTTTACCACTTTGAGCCATAGCTCCAGTTCTGGTTTTCTGATTGGAAGTCAGAGTCTCACAGACTTTTCCACCCAGGCTGACTTTGAACTGTGATCCTCAGATCTCAGCCTCCTGAATAACTAGGATTATAGTTGTGAGCCATCAGCACTTAGCTTAGGATTTTGTTCTTTCTTTCTTTTTCTTCTCTTTTCTTTTGCTTTTTGGTGCCAGTACTTGGATTGAAACTAAGGATCTGGACACTGTCTTTTAGCTTTTCCACTCAAGGTTGGTACTTTATTTGTCATAGCTCCACTTCCAGCTTTTTTGGTGGACTTTACTGACCAGTCTAGCTTCAAACTTTGATCCTCAGATCTCAGCCTCCGGCATAGATAGGATAATAGGTGAGAGTCACCAGTGCCTGGTCTTTAGCTTTATTCTTTTAGAAGATATTGTAAAATATACTATCCTTTCATTAATTCAGATTCAGCCTCCCTCCCCAGGTGTGACTGGTGAGAATTTTTTTTTTTTTTTTGTCGGTCATGGGGCTTGAACTCTGGGCCTGGGCGCTGTCCCTCAGCTCTTCAGCTCAAGGCGAGCGCTCTACCACTTGAGCTACAGCGCCACTTCCGGTTTTCTGGTGGTTTATTGGAGATAGGAGTCTCACGGTCTCTCCTGCCCGGGCTGGCTTTGAACCGCGATCCTCAGATCTCAGCCTCCTGAGTAGCTAGGATTACAGGTGTGAGCCACCAGCGCCCGGCTCTGGTGAGAATTTTTATTGTTGTAAGCTGCTGGACTGGTGAGAATTTTTATTGTTGTAAGCTGCTGGGTGTGTTTTGTATTTGTTGGATGTGTTAGGAAAGGGTTAAGAACCAGTAAACTATCTAGTTATTTTGAAGTAAGTTGTAAAATTTTTCAGCACTTTGAATTGAGAATGCCAATTGCATCTATTTTGCTACCAAGTAGTAACTTGGGTCACTTAATATTCATTAAAACATATAAAAAAATAAAACATACAGTGGCAAACTTCATTTTAGAAATGAAAATGCTTAACATGGTCAAATTTTGTTCCCTAAGCTCATATTTGATGGATAAAGTCAGTGTTTATACTGGGTATGATAAATGCTTTGCTTTCTTTGATCATATTTAAATTCAAAGACCTATTATAGGACAAAGTTTTCCCATAAAAATTCCAATATGTTAAAGTGGATTTGGGTTGTTTCTTGTTTATATCACATGTAAGTCTATTGCTTAATCTTTGTCATGTAAATTATAAATGTCTTTCCTAGGTATTGCTTGTCTTAAAACAGTCTTAAAAATATATCTAGTTGAATAATTGCCTGTCACAATATAATCTACAAAGCTGAAATGTTTTTCAACTTTAAATGCAAGATTAAGTCTCCTCCTCCCCTGGAATGTAATGTGAGAATAATAGAAAGGAAATGTCATCTGTGCATTTTGTTGATTAACTGTCACTGGTTTGTGATTGTACAACTGCTTTATACAGTGTAATGGTCAATGTAGTACAATAACAATACATTTTTAGTGGCATTATCAGTGTTGGTAAAGTAAGCTCGCCATTATGTTAACTAAAGCTGTACAAACAGATCCTCCTCTTTTGTGTATTCTGCTAGCTGCATAAAAATGATTTTGTGTTGGGTTAGAGTAAGTCCTGAAGCACATGAAGAAGGAAAATGAGGCCATTTAAAAAAAGAATTAAGGAACCAGAACCAAGTGACCTTCAATATGCTACTCCTGGAGGAACATGAAGGACATGGTTTGCCTTTGAATGTATTTTATCATTTCACTTATTCTTCATATTTTCAGATAAGTTTTGATTTCACTAAGAGCTGCGGAGTAAAATGTTTTCCCAAGGTTTATGGGCTACATTTTAAGTTCTTGCATGTGTTTACATTTCAGAAAATCGAGAATTTGGGGAGTGATCGTCAAACTTTATGATCAGTCATTTCAAGGATACTTTGTCTCTGAATTACCAAAAATGAGTTGTGTTTGAGACAACAACTTTAGAACACTACTTAGCCACCCCTCCCTTCCCCTCCCCTCTTCAGTTGTTGGTTAGTAACATTTCCTCCTACTCCCCAAGAGACCTTGTTTTTATGCTAATGACCAGAGGTCCCAAACATTTTACTTTTCTTGTAACAACATGATGATAGAGTTATCTGACTGAGTTTGAATGTTTAATTTTGTTAGGATTTGGAGTTCTTGTCAAGCTTTGACTGAATTTCATTTGAGAACTGTTCATTTGAAAACTGTTCTTTTTTTTTTTTTTTGTCGGTCGTGGGGCTTGAACTCTGGGCCTGGGCACTGTCCCTCAGCTCTTCGGCTCAAGGCGAGCCCTCTGCCACTTGAGCTACAGCGCCACTTCCAGTTTTCTGGTGGTTTATTGGAGATAGGAGTCTCACAGTCTCTCCTGCCCGGGCTGGCTTTGAACCGCGATCCTCAGATCTCAGCCTCCCGAGTAGCTAGGTTACAGGCGTGAGTGAGCCACCAGCGCCCGGCTTGAAAACTGTTCTGAAAAATATAATACTGATTATTTTCAACCAGTTCTAGCAATACCAAATATTTGTGTAGCATTTTACATTTTAAAAGCATGTTTATTGGTCTGGGGATGTGGTTTAGTGGTAGAGTACTTGCCTAGCATGCATGTAGCCCTGGGTTCAATTCCTTGTACCACATAAAGAGAAAAGGCCAGAAGTGGTGCTGTGGTTAATAAGGTAGAATGCTGGCCTTGAGCAGAAAGAAACTCACTGTCCCTGAGTCCAGGCCCCAGGATTGGAGGGGGAGGGAGGAAGCATGTTTACTATATTATTACGTATTATTTTTAGTAGTCTGCTGAAATAGGCAAGTCAGTTATTCTCACTTTAGAAACCAAGAGCAAAGACTTTTTTAAAAAATTTATTTTTTAAGGTTCTTTATTATTATCATGTTTTTGCTTATATGGTACTGAGGAATCAAACCCAGGGCTTTGTGCGTGTTAGTCAAGTGAATTCTACCACTAAGCCACATTCCCAGCCCCAGACATAGAGAACTTAGATATGCTTGTAAGTAGTAGAAGTAGTGTTAGAAATCAGGACTGTGCTTAAATCAGTATTCTGCCCATTAAGTTAAAATAAATTTAGAAAAGCCTCTGTTGGTAGGGAAATTCACATTTTTTTTTAAATTGTGAAAATACTGTACAGAGGGGTTACAATTACATGGGCAAGATAGTGAGTACATTTCTTATCAAGCATTGTAGCCTCCTCCTTTGTTTCCCCTTCCCATTCCTTCCCATCCCCAGCCCCACCTATCCTCCCCTCCCCACCAGTTGTAAAGTTGGTTTTCGACATAAGGACTTGTACATTGTTGCAATGGGTCCATCTGTATCCCTATTTAAACAATTTGTTTTTCTCCTTTCCCTCCACAAATTATACCGACATGAAGTACAGTGAAAGCAGGGGTTATACTGTGGGGGAGGGACATACAAAGCAACAAAGAAATAATCTTATAAATGTGTTAGAAACAATCACATAAAAGAAAAAAAAACATTTGAATACATATCTTAGGGTTCAATAGGGAAATTCACATTTTTTTTTAAATTGTGAAAATACTGTACAGAGGGGTTACAATTACATGGGCAAGATAATGAGTACATTTCTTATCAAGCATTGTAGCCTCCTCCTTTGTTTCCCCTTCCCATTCCTTCCCATCCCCAGCCCCACCTATCCTCCCCTCCCCACCAGTTGTAAAGTTGGTTTTCGACATAAGGACTTGTACATTGTTGCAATGGGTCCATCTGTATCCCTATTTAAACAATTTGTTTTTCTCCTTTCCCTCCACAAATTATACCGACATGAAGTACAGTGAAAGCAGGGGTTATACTGTGGGGGAGGGACATACAAAGCAACAAAGAAATAATCTTATAAATGTGTTAGAAACAATCACATAAAAGAAAAAAAACATTTGAATACATATCTTAGGGTTCAATAGGGAAATTCACATTATTTTGAAAGAGCAGAGGACAAACTGTAGGGGACCTCTTCTTTCAGTCCTTGAAGGACAAATATGTACTTTTTTGGGGGGGATGTCCTGTTGTGTGGCCTGAACTCTGGGCCTGGGCACTGTCCCTCAGCTCTTCAGCTCAAGGCTAGTGCTCTACCACTTGAGCTACAGCACCACTTCCGGTTTTCTGGTGGTTTTATTGGAGATAGGAGTCTCACGGTCTCTGCTGCCCGGGCTGGCTTTGAACCGCGATCCTCAGATCTCAGCCTCCCGAGTAGCTAGGTTACAGGCGTGAGTGAGCCACCAGCGCCCGGCTTAAAAGGGTTGTTTTTTTTTGTTTGTTTGTTTGGTTGGTTTTTTTAAAACTGTATTTTTTTTTCTTTTCTTTTTTGGTACTGGGGATCGAACCCAGGACGTTGCACTTGCTAGGCAAGCGCTTTGTCACTGAGCTACATCCCAGCCCGCTTCTAACATTTTTAAGGGCTGAATCTACAAAGAGGAGAACAGCTGAACATTCCTGAGAGTTAGGCAGATAGACACTATTTCTCAGGTATATTTAGTTTAGCAGTAATTTGAGTGTTTGGGCTTTGTCTTTTCAGGATTATCAAATTATGTGAATGTATGGGTGACCCAAACTACTTTTGGCAGGGTAGTTCAATTTGGAGGAGATAGCAAGTCTATTCACGACATTGGTGCCTTCTCCAGTGGGCAGGGAAAGCTTTATTCTTCTGGTTTTCTAGTGACTTTCTGTGTCTATGATGCTTGCTTTTAGTTCCACGAATGTTTCTGGAGCCCGTTTTTAAGTTGTTGTAAGAATAGGTTTATGGTAATTTGTTTCTAGCATTAAACACAGTTATATATTTTTTGTCTGATGGTATGTTAACATGTTATTATTGTAGGATTGACTCAGTCACCGATGACACCCTTATCTTCACTTTGGAATTTACTAATTGGAAGAGACTTCCTCCAACTATTGAGAAGATCCTATCTGATCGGATCTCAAACTCTTCTTTGGTGCTACAGCAACATGTTGGTAAGAAAGAACTTTTAAACACTTGTCCCTCTTCTGTTTCTCTATGCTATAATTTTAAGCAAAAGATTTGTTGGAGAATACATAGTAAATTAGGCCTAATTTGGATTTATTACATGGGAAATATTTGGTGGGTAGTAATTTTCTATACTAAAAATAATACTTGATCTTGTAAATTTAGCTCAGAGATCATATAAGAGATCTCATACAGAAAACAGTTGTTTATTGTTTCTTTTAATGATATACTTTAATGAACATTATATAAATAAAAGTGGACCCTAAAAATCTGCTTGGGAAATATTTAGTTTGTGATTAGAAGAATGTCAAACTTAATTATACTTTCTGGAATGAGTGAATTTATATTTTCTCTATAATGTTTAATCCTCTACTTATACCTGTTAGTGATTATATGACAGTCTGTTGGTTAAACTATGAAGGTGGATGAACATTCTGTGAACTGATTTTTGTGTGTGTGTTTGTGCTGGAATTGGGGCTTGACATCTGGGCCAGGTGCTGTCCCTGAGCTCTTTTGCATGAGACTAGTGCTCTACCACTTGAGCCACAGCTCCACTTCCAGCTCTTTTGGTAGTTAATCAGAGATGAGTCTCACAGGCTTTTCTAGCCAGGGCTGGCTTTGAACAATGACGATCAGATCACTTAGGTGTGAGCTTCCGGTGACCAGCCTGATTGATATTTTAAAGGACTATTTATTCTAAATTTACCTTCACTTGTTAAAACACTTTTAAACTGTTAAGAAAAATTAAAGAACATATAGGGGAAGATACTGCATAAGAAAAACTAGTTTAACTAAACATAACATATGCAAAGCATTCTTGTTCACTTACCACTAACTCTGAAGTTTTATTTTACTTTGACTACATTTTGTCAACCAGATTGTCTTAAGTTAGGAAAATTACTTTTTCACTGCTGTTTTAACTCTTCGTGAAGCATTTTGAATAGAGTTTTAGCAAGTGAATTTTGAAGAAATGTGTCTGCTAACTTCTTGGAAAATTACATTTAAAAAATGTTTCTCAATCCTAAACAGATATTTAGGAAAATATGTCTTGAATTGAGGGGTAGTCCCACAGTTACTGGTTTCTCATTGAAGAAAAAAAGTATTCAGTTTAGAGTCTCTGAGCCTTTTTTTAAATTGTATAGTTGGGTAATTCACTTACATGTAATTCTTAATTCTGAGAATTGCGCCTGCTTTTTACCATTTATGTATCTGCAGCCAAAGAGAACAGATAATATTCACAACAGATAGGATATGGGACAGTGAGTTTGGGAACAAAGGCTCAAAGATGGTATGAATGCCAAATGGGAAAATTATTGCAGCATATCAATTAGTAAAGATATGCAAGCATTTACTCTGAAGACCTTAACATATGTCAGGTTTGTCCAGATGAAGGTAAAAACTGTACATGAGTGTATTACCCTGCAGTAGACTAAATCCATCAAGGGCTTCTTGTTTAATTAGGCACTAGGTAGAACTTGTGTAGGGTAATCATCATCATCTCTTAAGAGGATTTTAAGTTGGCTGAAGATTTACAAAAGCCTTTCTCAGAGGTATTAATGTAGCTAACGCTTTTCTGATGTATTTCTCAAGCCAAGTCCTCTTTTCTTGGTTCTACTTGCGTATCTACAACTACCATTTGGACATCTCCACTTGGTATTTAACATTATGGCATATCCAAATTGAATGTGTCATTTTTCCTAGAAATCCTTCTGTTCTTTCTGTTTCTAATAAGATGGTTTGGGACTGTTATTTATCAAGAGAGTGGGTTAAACCTGGCAGCTGTTTATTATTTATTTCAGTTATAAAAGTAGTGTTCGAGGAGGTGGATATTGGGGTTGTTTTTTGTCTCTAAGGACATTTGGCAATGACTGCGAACAGATTTTGATTGTCATAACTCATGGGATGCTATCGCCACTTAGGGGGTTGAGACCAGGGATATAGTTAGACATCCTACAGTGCACAGAAGAGTTTCTCATGACAAAGAGTAACCCAGCAGTAAATGTCAAGTGCTGAAGCTGAGAAATCATGGTCCATGGTGACATTTCTGTTACCCAGAAGAGGCCTCTGCCCAAATCTCCAAGGCTGAGACTGTTCCTTGAGACACGTTCTCTATGTATCACAGGGTATCCTTGACTCTTACCCTCCTGCCTCAGCCTCCTGAGGGCTAGGATTACCAGTGTGTAACATGATTCCTGGCTCAGAAAAATGCTTTTTAATTTTATTAAAAACTACTTAGGAAAAGCTTTCATCCTTTCTACTACTTAAATTGGTTTCATAGGGAATGCTTTTCTGCAGATAGTAGGAGCAAGGATAATGCTGAAATTTTAGTAAATCTGGGAAGAAGCAGTCTCTTGCTGAGTTTCAAATTGAGTTGAGATCTTTTTCAGGGCTCTCACTTTATCCTTTTTCTCCTTAGTTTTCATGACACTCATTTCTGCATGTTGGTCATCTGGATTCCCGTCTTTCCCTAGGTTTTGAGCTGCACAATCTCTCGAACACAAAGCTTTCTTTTAGTTGAGTATTTTTTTCCGGGGGGTGGAGGAGGCAGTAAAGGAACACTGAACCACACTTGCCTTTTTACTTTCTGAAATAACTTAATCACGATATTAACAATTACTTCTTGTCAAGGTATTAACATTTTTTGAAAGAGGTATATTGTATGCACATATGAAAACATGACAATGAAACTCATTACTTTATAAACATATACTAATGAAAAATAAGCTAATATGTAGCTCAGTGTTAAGAATGCATGCTTAGCATGTGCAAGGACCTGGGTTAGATTTCTCTAGAATTATAAGAAAAAATGCAAATTTTTAAAAGAAGACCTCTTGCACCTTGGCCACAGTAAGTCCTAGATAATGGTCAGTTTCCTAGCCCCATTAGTTTGCCAGCAGTATCTATCCCTAGGAAGTGATTTACTGTATCTTTTAAAGCCCTTGCTAAGCCTGCTGATGCCTTGTAATTGGTCAAAAATTTCTTCTTGTCACCTTTTCTGCCCTTGGGAAGTAGTAACTTGCTGTGATAAGTTTGTGAAAAAAAATGACCATCTACCTTTTCTGCTTATCTTTTACACTGAGTCAGATTGGCCTTTAAAAAGTTTTTTGCAGCTGATCATGGTGGCACATGCTTGTGATCTTAGCTACTGTAGAGACAGAGGCAGTTTGAGAAAGTGAGACCTATCTTAACAAAATGGCCCCTGTGTATGACACCATCTACTCAGAAGGCAGAAATGGAAGGGTCATAGTTTGTGGTGAGCTCAGGGAAAAAGTGAGACCCCATTTTCACAAATAAGTGCAGTGTGTTGGCACGTGCCATGATTTCAGCTACATAGAAGGACAGATATGAGGATCACAGTATAGAATGGCCCAGGCAAAATTGTGAGACTCTATCTGAAAAAATTAACTGAATCGAAACAGTTATAAGGACATGACTTAGGTAGTAGAGTACTTGCCTAGTCAGCATGAGGCCCCAAGTTCAAACCCCAGTACTGACTCTACACCCTGCCCACCCAACCCTCCCCCCGCAAAAAAAAGAAAAAAAAAAACCAAACAACAAAGAAAGGTTTGGAGGATTTACTGAAATGGCAGAACATACTTACCTAATAATCATGATGCCAGTAAATCTCCAGTACTTAAAAAAACAAAAGCTTTCTGTTTCAGAAAGTAATTTATACTGTGTGAAATTTTAGTTTAAGTAATGACCTTTTTGCATGCATATTTTATGCATACTTCTTAGAAGCATCAATCCAACAATGTAACAGTAGACTTAGAAAATTCAGCTGGCTACCAATTCAGGAAGCTAAGTTAGGAGGGTCACCTGAGCCCAAAAGTTCAAGAGCAGCCTGAGAAATACAGTGCATGTTAAAACCTTCTGCCAATTTCTGGTCACTGACCAGGATCAAATCTAAGAAATACTAAAAGTACTTAGCTTTAGTTTATCCTGAATCTTTAATGGTCAGATATATACTGTTCTGCCCACATGCAATGAATGGGCTGAATTCTATAAAGAATCCTAAAAGCACACCAAGATACTCTTTGGATCTTTTATTCCAGTGTATTTCTGCTTTATTCTAACAAAGATTCGCAAAATTTATGTATACAAATATATAACAAAACAGTAAAACAGAAGTTAAAAGCGGCAGCATGGTAGAGATAGATATAAATGGAATCAGAAAAAGGTAGCCATGGTAACTTGATACTTGTCCATGGTGCTGTTGCAGCTTCCTAGGCAATGTCTTGGTAGTCATGGTTTCTTGGGACTTTGTCTTACTATTCTTTTAGTATGTTTATTTGCTGTTATGCAGTCAAAGCAGAATTTAATCAAAGTAGTTCCTAATGAATCAGCACAGGTAGCTTTGGCACTCAGGTCTCTGTTCCTATAACTTTCCCAAGGGCTAGACTTGAGAATACTTGGAGAATGACCTGTTCAACCTTTGAGCAGTTCGCTATAAATATTGTTTCTCTCCACCCAATTTGAAATAGTACTAGATAGTACAGAATTTTAAGTTATATTCATATCATACAACTGAAGTGTCAGAGTGCAGCTGTTTGGGGTTGCACATTAATTGGAGACTGATCATTAAGAGAAGAAATAGGTGATCTTAAAAGTATATGCAAAAGAAAAGTGGAAAATAAAGGTTGATTCATGATAAGGTAAATTTTCTGTTGTAAAACCCAAGGAATGTTATAAGGCTTCCTTCCAATCTGGTAGGCTGACCACAGTTTGGATTTCTTCTTCTTAGAACAAAGAACTTTGGTTTTTAGCCTTGATTGTCATGTGGGATAATTGGTGAAAACATAAAGCCCTGGTGTGAGTACTCTGTGCTCTTACTTCCTTTGCTGAGGAAATCTGAAAGCCGTATTTGGAATGGCAGTGATGTAAGATAGACCTAACCCAGAACACTCAGCTGTCATTTTAGGATAATCACTTGGCCTGTAGAGTATTTTGCATGTTGAGCCAGGAATAAATCTTTGTTCTATTATAA